GAACGCACGTCCATTATTTGTGTATGTAGACAAAAAGTTGCTCTGAAAAATTGCACTCGACATGGCAGTGCATTGTCCCTAACTTCATCATTGTTTTGGGAGGCAATGTCCCGTTTCTAATCGTCACTTCTCTCTCTCTCTCTCTCTCTCTCTCTCTCTCTCTCTCTCTCTCTCTCTCTCTCTCTCTCTCTCTCTGAGGTGAGCTCGACGGACATGTCTCCTATCGCTCGTACCGTGGTCAGCATCGCCGAGTTCAGTGGAAGTCGTTCACAGTGATCCGCACTTCGCCGTGCAAATACTCGCGATCGGCGAAAGGCGGTTCTGCGTGGACGACGTACAACGCCAGGTCGCGGAGGTGGCCGACGTACCCCATCGCCACGTTTGACACGACTGGCGAAAGGGCTTTGGGGCTTGTGGATTTCAACTATGAGACAGCGCTGATACTATCTTCAGCAATGCATCGCACAACATGCGCTGACCCGTGTCAAGCACCTCGCACTGTTTCTCCTGCGTCCTCGCCTCCCTCTCCATGATATCGCATTGTCGTTGCAACACATCACATTGACGCTTGCTAGCACGATCCACAGATTCCGCCACGTCTGTCGAATGTGTCTTCATCATGTCCGTGACAGCATCGAAGGCCAGCTGCCACCCATTCTTCCGCTTCCCTGCAAGCGTGTCCCCAGAAGATTTGCTGCCATACCCATCCCCCGCTGCGCTGTCCATGTTGTCACTCGCAGACGTTTCTCCCACGACAGTCGGCCCTCTTGCTTGGTCATCCGCCTCGCCTCATTCGGTTGTTGTGGAGGCAGTCCGCCGATGTCAAGCAGATTAGGCGGGTGTATGGCTTGATTGTTGGGGGTTGTTGCGTGGATGGCATCATACAGTTGTCGATCGATCGCGAACTTGAACCCAAGTTTTTTGCGCTTCTTCGAGGAGAGCAGGAAAAAAGATTGCACGCCCGAGTCTTTCTCCCTGTCCCAAATTTTTATGTACCACCCGAAAATGTTTTCTCATCTCTTCATGCACGAATCCCCATCTCAATTCGTTACCCCCTGCTGGGCCATCCGCTTCGCTATCTCGTTCCACTTCCATGTCTTCGTCTTCGTCCGCGCGAAGTTGCTGCCCTGGCTCGCCATATAATCGTCCAGGGACCAGGTCCCTCTTGCACCGCACGAGGACGAGCGATTCGTCCAAATGCCAGTGCTTCTGCGTGCTCCCTACCCCACTGTCGCCATCCGCATCCCCCCCTTCCTCCCTCGCCTTCGACCTCCCACGACTCTTGCTTGCCTTCTTCTTCCCTCCCTTTGATGTGACTTCCTTCACAGCAGGCTCGTCATCCTCCTCGCTCTCATCGTCGCCATCCATRCAGTCCTCCGCCACATCCTCACCGTCAGCRTTCGCGTCACCTCCATCSTCGCGTTGGACGTCCGTACGCATTCTGGAGTACCGCGCTATGATCCTCTCTATCACTCGTGGGGACTCTGCCGCAGTCGCCGTCGTCACTCTTCCATTCAKGACAGTGTGGGGAGCCCCATTGCTGACAKGAGTCGAGAACGCCGRCGGTCGGCTATGGCTGCTCATGCATGCGGACGATGACCTCGGCRGCTGYTGTGTCTCYAGYCCGTCTTCTCRGGCATCCTGCATTGTCACCGACACACCGCCYTGTGACCGACTGCTGTGCTCCACGAGAACGGTTCTTGAAACATCCATCGTGCMCGCCSACGACAAGTGCAGTTGCAAAGGATCACCTCCCGCCCCCCGCGCTTCCGTCAACAAGGTGGACATCGGACCCATCCCACTGCCACGATCACCYGATCTGCCTCCGGACTCGTAGGAGGTCTGTGTCGACCCCCATGCSAGAGGGAGGGTTGAAGGGGGCGCACCCACTCCTCATCATYTGGCAAGGGCTGCATGTAACTCGCCAGATGGGCGTACGACGAGGGGTCGAATCGGTGACGAAYTCCGTCYRGAACGTCGTTCGTAGCACCCCCCSCCATCCCATACATGTGCCCGYCATGGAGATTATCATCGCCCATCCCCTTCCTCGCCCTGCGTCCTCCGCAGTCCTTCTTTGTTGGCTTCTTCCGCGGACGGGCCCGACTGTGCCTCAGCAACTGACACAGTTGCACCACAATGACGATCAACAATGCGACAAGGAGGATTGCCAGCAGAGCAGTCTTCCTGAGGAGGTCTGCCATGCGCACACGTGAGGCGTGATGAAGACAAGCACAGCAGGAGGCAGTGCTGCAAACGACAATGCGTCTCCTAACACAATGGCCATTTACATGGATCGGCCACTGCCAAGGGAGTGTTGTGTCCAGCCCTCTCATCCCTTGCCCGATTGCTGGCCGTTGGCAGGGACGAAGCTACCGAGCAGAACATTTCGTATTCGAATGACCGCCAATGGCCATCCGGCCCTTGCCGCTTCCAGAACGACCTTCCTCCCCTCCCAACGGCTACTGTGGCCTCGCAACGGCACTGGAGACAGCGGTACCATGTCTCGCCGGTGCCAAAGTCCCACCCGAAGGGCTGGTCACGAACGCACTGCACCAGGAACAACCGCCTTTCGGCAAAAAACAAAAAAAATCCGCGACAGCCTCCGTGAATGACGCGATCCGTGGGGTCCCACCCTCACATTTCAAGTCACCTCCGACGGCTCCCTAGAGATTTCCGTCGTTTTGCATCGGCCGCCCTTATTTTTCAAGGGCGGACCGTACAACCCCAAAATGTGGAAACACTTCGGAGTTCGTTTCCGTCGTCATTAGGGTGCTGTGGAACGATGATTTTGTAAGGATCCTTACATTTCAAGTGGTGTGGACCGAGGCCCTAAGCACTAGATTAGAGCAAGAACATAGAAAATTAGAATATACAAAATTAAGACCAGCAAGATCGATTTGAAAGGCAGCCGATGCGAAGAGCACCACACATATTCGCACAAAATTTTCCTGCTCCATCACCGCTGTCATTATTGCGCCGCTACCTGCTTCTGTGCCTTTAACCGTTAAACCAGCTCAAACGAACGCTTTGTCATTCGGAAACCGGCAGCTCTTTTTGACGCTCCAGCTTGTAACAAGCTTCCCTCCTCCCACTCCGCATGAGAAGATGCTCCTCACTTTCTGCCCGCACTGCCCAACCAACCTCCACTAAATTCGTCCAGGAGCATAGGAGCAACGCCACTACCATGCCCAAGATCTCATTAAGACTATCCCAATCACCTCGACAACCTCCCCTTCCTCTAGCATGTCAACCCGGGACACCATATAAACGACGCACTGAGCAAGAGACCTCTTCAGCCTAGGTTATCAAGGCTGGAAGAACCCTCAGTCGAAGCATCACGTCAATGGTCATGCCAAACAAATCAACGGAACTTCACACCATCGCCTGCTACCGTAATCCCCATTGCCCACATCAACTTCCCAATATTCCTCGCAGGGAGTTGTGCTGACAAGGCGCCACCAACTCATGAGCCGGCCCATGTCGATAGAGGAGTGGCACGGCGCTTCCGGTCACGCCGCACTGCCTGACAGGTGCAAAAAATAAAAAAGGAAAACACAAAAAATGAAACGCACTCTCGTTTAATGGGACGCACTGCAACATATTCATCCGCATCAACGCCCACCATGTGCCCTACGCCCAGGGCACACTGCGAGATGTTCATCCACATTTACGCCCACTGTGTGTCACGTCGTTGGGGTACGCACTCTTCTTTAAACCACCAGTACTTGGCCCAAGCGCCCAGCTATCAAGTCCGAGCCTCGGCCGACCGGTATGCCGAGCCTTGCCGAGGCTCAGACTACCGCGCGCTAACTTCCCAAACGTGCTTGGAGAAGAACATGGAATAAAGAACAAAAAAAAAAAAAAAAAAAAAAAAAAAAA